GAAGATACTAGAAGGTCATGAGTCACGCACCAAATCCCACTCCTTCACACCCACCCCTCATATGCACACACAGAGACAACTTACCAAGCAGGCATACCATCCTGCGTAATTGAAATCAGAACGCTTTTGCAACTAAGAAAAAAAAACTATTCTGACATGGTAAAAGCAAATGGGAAAAGAAGTATAAGGAGGAGACATAAATGCCAGAGACAGTTAATGTCCCCATATTCCTGGAGGAACTCTGAAAGAATAACATAAAAGCAGTCACCATTATTCTCAGATCGTATAGTGACAGCAGCTGCTTTTTCCTGGTAAACTCTGCAGTCCATGTCTGAGAAACCCACTCGCCAGCACTATCTTGCAATCCTGAGGAAAATAGATATCCCGTACTCCACAATGTGGTCTCTGAAGGGAAAATAACTTGTGGCTATCAGAATACAGGTTGCAGCAATATCCTAACTCTAGTTGATGATAGCAACACACCAAAGAGGCTTCTCCTTTCACCTAGAAATGCAGGGTGGGGCCAGGGTTCAGTTGGTGATACCAATGAATACAGTCACTTACATTATCCAGTTAGAACACAATGAAACATGGGAAAGGTCTTAATGTAGGAAAGGGAATTGTCAACATTTTACTTCATCATCAATCATTTTAATACAGTCAATGGCATCCACCTTTACCCTTCTTCCAGACGTACAACAGGCTTGGGGAAAATTCAAATGCATCAGCTCAATAAGGCAAAATATTCCAAGTATTTTCACAGCATCTAAAAAGACACCAAAGCCAAAAAAGCAGTGGGGAAATCGCACCTGACCTCTAAACTGACATTCCCAGGGAAAAGGTATTAGCAGCCCTCTGAAGCAGTTTCCCATGCAGCACAAGATAAAGGGAATTCAATAGACCTCTTCTCCTTTCCTCTACCACTTCCAGACCTAAGTAGGTGCTGTCATGCTACCAGTGCACCGGCATTTATCTACTATAAATTAGCAGACAGTTTACATCCTGTCATAAGACACTGAGGTGGCATTCCTTTTTCTGAAGTGAATTACTGGCTGCTTTTTAAAGCAATTTAAGATTGCCACGCAAGTGTGTTATTTAAAAAAGAAAAATACCATTATCTACCTTTCCATTACTATTAAACTAATATTAAGTTCTTTCTCTTACTGCCCTCTCACTTGTACACCCATAAATGAGTTTCTGCAGTAGCAACATTATTATTGTTATTTAAATTGCATTTTTTAGTTTAGCGGCCCGTTTCCAAGTGTAAAAATCTTATTTCAATCAATTTAAAAATGTCTTGGTTTCCACCAAACTTTGTACTTGTCCAGGGAAGGTTTTGATATTACAGAAGGGGGCAAGATGTGCTCATAAGTTTCCTATAAACTAGAATATCCATAATATGGTGAATATTTTTCTAGGGGATCTTAGAAAAAGAAACAAAAATATTCGTTATTAATGAGTCAACCACAGAATCTGTTGTCATTCAGATTTGCTAAAATGGTCATTAAATATCTGTTCCCTAAAGGTTACCTTTGAATAAGCACTCAAATAAACATTAATCAGTTTAGATAGTTAAGCCTACCAATGTTGCAAAAAATCTTCAGTATTATTTACTGATCCTCCAATTAACTTGGGCATATCCCTGCACCCACCCAGCAGTCAGTGCTTACAAGAGACCTGCATGAAGTCAGTTACAGAATCGTGACCTTGGATGCCAAATACAACTCTTTGGATATCTTCACATATATTTGTGTGTCCCCTAGTTCAATATTAAAAATATTAAAATCTTTCAGGATCTCATACCAACATGTTTTGGACCTCTCAAAGCTACAAAGTACAGAAGCATATAAAATCTGATGAAGAATTAACCAACTATTTCAAACTTTAGAACAGGTTGCTTTAGGTTCAGTACTGAAATTGGTATTGTTATTAATTTAGATTTGCTCACCTCTGTTTCTCATCGGTCTGTTCCTCAAGCTATCCATGACAGTAGTTCTGCTGAAGTCAATTTAACCAATCATATTAGCAAGTACTCATGAATTGACTCACATATTTGCAATTGGTTACAGGGTGAAGAAAAGCCATTTACAGAAATAGAAAAAAAAATGGGAAAAGGGTATATTAAAAGCTGTTTTGGCACTATTTAGCTGAGGTTCCTGTCCCGTGTACTTATAAAAAATCTAAAGAAATGACTACTCCTAAATCTTATTTGTAATTCTTTTTAAACACCGTTAGTCCCAGAAGACAAATCAACACAATTTACATGCACAGTTTCAATGCAATAAAAAAAAAAAAGGTCAGGTTCCTGTAAGACTCCTCACAAAACTATGAAAATGTTATGCAAAGATGACATCACCATATGACAAGGAAGGGGGAAAAAAGCAACTTCTCACCTTTGTCATCAAGTAATTGCCCATTGACTTCATCACTGATAATGTATCAAGTGGAGATAGCTCTGCAAACACGACAATTTGACAGAAAGTACTAAAGAAATCTCATGGTAGAAAAGTTATTGCAACTCATGGTTGCTGGTTTGCCTGAGCTAAGCAGTTTCACACAGCAGGATAATAAGTTCCCCTCTTTGCTAAAGCAATTGTTCTTCAAACCTACTTTGTTTTGGCTCTAGCCCACACATTAACCATATGTTTGCAAGAAATACTGTGAAGAAGAATGGCCTTCTGCTAAAACAGATTAAAATGTAATCTCCTTCCAGTAAATGGCATATTTATAGCACTGTCATTTTATAAACTTTCACCATGTACACTTGAAAATTGCTGGATGCTTTACACCGCCAGTAAAATCAAGGAATCGAGAACAACTTCTCCAACATAATATTTCAACATTTTTAGGACTTTCCCCCTGATATAAATCTCTCACCCTAGATTCTTAGATTCCTGTTTACTTTTCTGCTTAATAGGACATCTAACAGGGTTTCAATAGAATTGGGTAAGTAACAGCTGCCGTTTACAATTTGTGACAAATGAGCTCAATATTAAGAAACACAACAGGGATTTACATTGAAACTCCATCCAAATACTGATTCTCACTGGTAAGTGTGATAATTTATTTGGATGATTATCTATTTTCAGCATTCAGTCACAGGAATTAGAAAGATGATATGCCACTTGCACATCTTGACTTCTAAATTGTTAGGGGGGTGGGGGGAGGTTCTCCTAGAACTAACTAATTGCATGTGGCATTCAGATGTCAACATCTACTTTCTGTTTATACTAGTCACAGACGGCAATAGGAAACAAAACCTATTTCAAAACCGGTATGTACTTACTATATATTACATGTTTTGTATGCAGGCAATATTTTTCATGTTAAAATGAAAGACATCTATTTTAATGCTTTTGGACCAGGTCTGTGGTCACATTTAAAAACTGTTTCCTTATATTTGCTAAAGTATATTATGTTGTGTTTTTCGTGTGTCCCCACTATGGAGACATGCAATAATTCTAAAAGGATTAACAAGGACACATTGGCAGCTGATAACTGCCTCAAAAACCCGCTTATAATGGAAACTTTCATTTGGGATATCTGGCTTCCCATTTTTCCCCCTTTCTAATAATCAACTCCGATGTAATTTAGCAGAGAATATATCATTTTAAAATAATGTCAAAGTATTAAATCAGAATTGACAGGAAGTTTCACACTTGACTGATAGTGAATGCTACCTCAGTCTCTTTATTGAATCAGAAAAGATCCATAGATAATTACTGAATCACAATATAAAACTCAAAAGAAAACTGCAAAATATTTCAAGGACTACTGAGTGATCTGTGCTGATTGGGATACAGCTTAAATCAGGAGTATTAGGAGGACGTGAAGAGGTGTAAGGTAGTCTAGCATTCTCGGTTCTCTCATCTACCTGAAACTTCACATCCTCATTCTGTCCCTTTTCCTCTCACCTACACTTGCAGCTCACATGTGTTCATTTCAAGCAATAGATATGACAGTTACTTTCAACATACCTTAAAGGGTGGGGGAGGAGAAGAGAAGGTGCTAATCAGTGAACACAAAGGGCTCCTCCAAAAAACACCAACATGAGTATTTTATAGAGAATAAGAAAAGAGGGGATGGACACATTTCCTTGACATTGTGATTACACATTTGGAGGATCTGCAAGTATACACGGTATTTATTAACAAATACAGCAGAAGATATACCAAATATCTGTTGATGAGTATCAGAAAGCATGAAAGCTTAAAATCAACAGCGGTGCCATTTAAAAGCAACTTTCCATCTCTGAACAATGTGATAATGGGATAGTGCTGTAGCTTTATCCTGCCTTTACTGAACAGACTATCCCTCCAGCACTGTGAAACCACTAACTGCTAGGGGGGAAAATGTTTCATATGATATATATCATCAAAATGCTGCATTGTCAGCTCTGGTTCTTATTTTAATCATTGATAGCCTGGGTTCATATTTTAATCAATGATCTATTGCATTCATACCTTAGGGAGTAATGCAGTAACTTTTTAGCATGTTTCTAGGCACCTTGGTACCACAGCAAGCTCTTACCTGCGTTTCAGAATACATACAGTAAATCCTAAACAAGACTGCACTGCAACAAGGCTATTCTAGTGTTTATTTTCAGCATTTTAAAGGGGGGGGGAAACATTAGTATGTTATCAATTTAGTTTCTTCAGGACCACAGACTACCTGCTATTGCTGCTGTACATGTCCATCTTACTGTTTGTAAAATGCACCCCCAGCCCCCCAGCCAAACAAGCTTTGGAAAACTGTATAGCATGCTTCATTCGTATGAAAAGATAAAAGCATAAACAGCCTGGAGCGTCCAAGTTGAGATTCAGTACCTCTCAAAGTATCAGAGAGGTGGAGGGAAAAAATCAGTTCAAGAAGAGACACTCTGAACTTACAATGGAAGAGGCTGGAATCCATCTCTCTTTTTAAAGAAAGAAGAATGAATCTTAAAAGAATAAAACAGCAGACAAAACAGAACTCCAAGTGAAACAGCCTTTTGTACTCACCTAGTGCTGAACACCAGAACAGGAAAGAGAGGCAGCAAGTAATAGGCAGAGATGAATTTCATATTGTAGCTCGTCTGATCTGTTTTGTCGGCTTCCTCTCTCACTATCCTCTTCCCTGTCTCTCTCCCACAGGCTTTCTGTTTTCCAAAGCCCTGATTCAGAAGACAGCCGCTCGGGTGTGTGAAGGTCCGTCGATCTGTAAATGCAGACAGACCAACAGACTGACTAATGAAGAGAGCTTAGAGTGGGGTTTGAGCTTTAGGAGTGATGTCACAGGCAATGGAGCTGCTGCTGCAAGCCTACTGCCTGATAGCCTGTGATTATTCAACACAGTGACTCTATTGATGTCCTGAAGGATTTGTTATTACTAGCAGTTTAAGTGGCAACCAGGGAGAGAGGAGAACACAGTGGTTGGCACTTAACTCTAAGGTTATAAGAGTGCCTTGAAGATTCTGCCTGGAAGAAAAAAAACCCTACAAAATATCTGCAATAATTAAGATCATATTGCTTGGAAGAAGTAAATCTGCATAAGCTTCACAGTATAGAAACAGGTTCTCCTAATTTAAAGTAACACACAGATTCAAATCAACCTGATGCACCCTGCTGGGAAGGGCGTCCTCTGCAAAGTAGGAATCAAACTTTATTGTTCCAATTAGAAATTCATACACTACAGCTTGATGCTGGCAATAAAAAAAGATGAGCAGAATAGCTTGCAAAGATATATTTTGAAACATTGTCATCTCTAAAAATCCTTAATTACAAGAGGCTTGAAGACAATTAAGATTTTGTTTTGCTTCCCATCTTTTTGCCCTCTCAGATCTTAATTTTTCTTTAAACAAATCAGTAGCTGATAAAGTCACTTTTTTATTTTAACCAGCTATTTATATTCTCTGGGATTAAATGCCCTAGGTGGTGAATGAAGTCCCTAGCTTTGTCTTGTCAAATAGTTTGTCAGAAATACAAGCCCTAGGTGCCATTACATTTGCAAAAATATATATTAACTATAGTGTAGGTTGGATAAAATATTCTCACTTTAAAATGCACCGGTAGTATATTTTAGCCATAGTTTAAGTGTATGTAATGAGAATAAACAGTGAATGAAGCAGGGAGGACAAAGAGATATTTCTGTTGTCTGTATCCTTAATTGCTTATGTGAAAGGCAACAGTGATATTGTATATACATTAGAGGAAAGCTTTCAGATTTCAGTCTATGTTTCTTTGCTTTCATTATTCCCTGTGGAGTGAAGTGAGAAACATTTGCTCTCCATCCAAATAGTTCCAAGTACATTAATTGTAGTAAATGGAAGGGGGGTTTTTTATTACCGTAATGGGCACTAGTAAGACATTCCCAAAGAACACAAATATAACCAACACAATTCAGCTTACATGGAAAGTGTGAAGGAGTGAGAAAAATGACAGTGCACATAACAAAAACAGAGAATGGTGACATTTCCCCTTCTCACCATTTCCTAATGCTAGCTTTCCACTTCAATATGGCTGGTCATCATATCAGTACAACTGTTTACAGCTGCAGAAATGTATTGAATCAATATTCTATTTTTTTCCATGTTTCATACAATAGCACCAATTTCTTTCTCCTTCTTATACTCTGCTTTCTGCAAGTCTTTTCATAGTGGGTGATGAAGTGAACTCGGGTTCACAAAAGCTTGTGCTCTCTCTATATATCTTATTTAGTTAGTCTATAAAGATGTGTATCTATCATGCCTTCTATCAAAGAAGCAGTCACATTACCATGGCTGCTGGTGACTGAATAGTAAAAAAGATCGTACGAAGTGCAGTCTGCTTGTCATTTCCTTACCCAGCAAACCCAACCTCTCCTGGCCACCAGGCACCTCACCTGCAATCACGTACCACTGGTTTGATCCTTCCTTCATCCCCTTATATGCACACACAGTTGATTGAGTAAAGGGCACTGGTGCATCAGGGAGTACAGCATGCCAGGTGAGCCCAGAGTGAGCTTCTCAAAACTCATGCAGTTATACAACCTGAAGAATTATTTCTGAATTATTTTACTGTTTATACTCTTTACAAAGTGTTTTTCCTTTGTAGGGAATTACGCTGCCAGAAGCCTTCATTTTTCCTGAAGTTTGGCCATGGTCTCATAAGAGATTTTAAATCTATAGCTGGGCTTGATGGAGTGAGCACATCAGCATGTGAATGGGAGATGCTATATGACAGCTACCGTAAAAGAAATATAAAGGGGCTATCACTCCAAGAATCATTCCACCACTGCACTATGACAGCGTTCACTATAAGCTAACACTCTGGCTTGTATTCATTATATACTAAATACACAATTCATAGATTGACAATGATATATATAGATAGAGGATGATATATTCTGCTTGATTAATGATTAATTATGTATTTGTACAGTGAGTATCACAATAAAATAGAGTCTTCAACTATGTCAAAGTCAAAGATCTGCTGTATTCTAATGGTTCCTCAGGCTACAGCAATTCCAGTGTGCCAGTGTCTATAGCCAATATCACACAATAGCTACGAAGTGGCTAGCATCACATCTGGCCATTTTAATTCCCCAGCTTGCATGTCCACCGCAGCTAGGTCAACTTTGGGATGAGTTCAGAGCAGGATTAAAACTGAATACCTCTACAGCCATATCAAAATGTCCCAGACAGGGGGAAGTTGTGTTAATCTAGGCCAGGGGAGTCACTCATCTGACCCCATGAGCTGTGTGAGTTGCACGGGGCCAATCCACAGGCCCAACCAGTCCACAGACCAGCCCCATATTCCAGATCCAGCCCATGTCCCAGAGTGGCCAGATTGGGCAGATCATGTCAGATCCAGTGTAGGTCCCAGGGTGGCCAGAACAGGAACTGCATTCAGCATGGCCCTAGAGAGACTAGAGTGGGAGCTGGATGGCCCCAAACCGGCCTCTCCAGGACTGTGCTGCACATAGAGTCCGCTCTGGCCACTTCATGACCATGTCCCACACAGCCTGTGCTCCAGTGGAAATCCACTGCATACTGGTTCCCAGAGTGGGCACCACATATGGAACATTGCTCGGAGAGTCAGCACTGTGGCCCTGATGGTAGGGCTCTGTAGGAACTGCCGTATGGACCAGACCTTTCCACCCCTGGTCTAGACTCATAGACAACTCAAATAATAAGGAATTAACTTAGCTAAAGTATGCTTTTAATATTATTATGTAAATTTACCCAGAGCCAAGTTAACCAGAACACCTCATTTATCACAGTTTATTCCAGCCTGCCTCTCACAACCTGTTCCCCTTTCCCAACAGCAAAGGATACATCCAGTGTGATTGTAGCAGGGGCAGAAAGAAGAAAGGAAATCCTTGCTAAAATTATTCAAGAAGTCCTTGAACTAACATGGAATAAAGTGCCATGCCCAAATTATATCATTTCTTCACCTTTAGATCTCAACAGCAGCCTGCGGTGGATATCTTTTCACCTATCTGATCTTGAGATCCATAGAGAATGCCTCCCTTCCACCAAGCTATAAATGAACCCTACTTGCAGCATTTTGTAGAAGGGCTCTCCTCTGCATATAGAGCTCCTAGAATCATTCTGCATGTATTTCTCTTTCACCAACCCAAGCCATAAGCCAGTAGGTGGTCCCAACAGTGGGTGACAAATATCTGAAAGTACAGCATCCCTAAATGTCAGAATTTAAACACAAAATAGGTTACAATGAAAATGAACAGGTAAATTCAATTAAGGACATAAGAACATGCTTACAAGCAAACCTCTTTTCCTGTCATTGGAAAATCTAGCTACTAATACTTCAACACTATCATGAGATTCCTTTGTTCATAACCTTGAATTAAACTCCATGGCACTCTTCTTCCCAAAAGTAGCTAATTGACCTTATTTTCTACTTTCTAATGTGTTGTAAATTTAAAGAATTATTTAATTTCCATCATGGGTATTTTAAATAATTACATTTACTTTTCTAAAGATATGTGGAATTGTCTCAGGTTTTCATCATATGTATATAAATACTTTATATAGTGTTTTGAATGGTTAAAATTATGCCAAATATTAATTAGATTACAATAGTTTAGCAAAAAAAGCCTTGTGAAGGGAAACCTGAAAGGCACCTGAGTAAATACTTTATTTTCCCCTTATAATAAATGGTTTCTCCTCTGTGGCTAGAATGTATGCTAAATAAAATAATTACAACACATCTGATGAGTAAAAGTACTTCTGATTATATAGTCCTTTGTAAATAATGATATGCACTAAGCATAAAGTAAATAAAAAGGAAACAATGGAACTGCTACTACACAATTGTTTCCAGTAATACTAACAATTTCATTTTTTTGTGATACCAATGAGACTTACCATTTCTACAACTCCTGAAAGCTTGATTAAGTTTATTTCAAAGTGTGAGAACATTATTCTGTATGCTGTTACATACTTTTGAAGTATAAGATGAAGCTACAGGAAACTTTTCAAAATACAGTATAAATTCATCTTTTCCCATACCAGACATGACCAATTTTGGTAATACCTAGCACAAGAAAGTCCAGATTTTGACTAGTTCCTTTATGAACCACCATAAAAATAAAGGATATATTGTTAGGGGAATTAAAATACATATGGGGTTTACAATGTGCAAATATGCTAATAGAGAGGTGTGGATGAAAACAAATTATATAAACAGAAATATGAATATATTTTACTACAGAATACTTTACCAAACCATTCTTGTAGTGTCTAAATACAATATTTACTTGCATATAAACCATGAATATAAGGCAACCCACCCTCCAGAAGTTAGATTCTATATATGGAAAATTTATAAATTTGCTATAAAGTTTTCAGGTATAGAAACTAATTATTGGAGGTTTGCCTTGAATTTGTCCCCCTCCCACCCACTGCTACATCAGGGAGAATAAATCTGGGGGAGGGGTCAGATAGCCCACTTTCCCTCTGCCCCCACCCCAACTTCTTGTGCCTTCAGCTGCGCCCCCACATACATATGTTCATTGATCTGGGCCCCAGCAGAGTCAACAGTGTTTCAAGCCATGGTGACCCCACAACCCAGCACTGCATAGTATGTGTGTATACTCCAGATACCCCCACAAAGAATCCATGTGCTAATTAGCCCCCCAATCATGACTGGAGTTGTGTGTTCTTGTCATGAATCCTGGGTTCCTCTGAAAATATACCTGCAGATGAGGTGCAGGGACACCTAGTCCAACTTAACCTCTTTGGGGGTAGGGCCACACTAATCATATTTCATAGACAGACATTAGGGCTGGAAGGGACCTCAGAAGATTATCAAGTCCAGCCCTCTGCCCCAGGGGCAGGAAGTCATCAGGGATCATAGGATCCCAGCAAGATAAACA